CATAAGGCCGAATATAATTCATCACCTTCCAAGGTGGTTTCAAGTTCCAAACATCACATTTAAATATTTATTGTAATTTTCTACCATAACCTTCATCAAATCCAAGCTTTGAATATAATTCTCAAACTTTTCCTAAAGTGTCGTTTTGATCACTATTAGGATTCAACCATTCTTCCTCACTTTCAAGCTTGAATAAACATGCTAAGGCATACAACATAATATTCTCATCATATCTAACATAAAAAAATCAATTCAAAACATCAACCCCTTAACTTTTCATCCTTTCCAAATTGATCCTTAAAGGAAAACTAGTGGATTTTCATCATTTGAAACATGAAATCAATATCACAACACCTATTTCATCAATTTAAAGCCTTAAAATCTCAAATTCCATCATCCTCTTCATCCACCCTTTTCACAAATTTAGGATTATAAGCATGAACAACATGAATAAATGGTACCAAATGAAAGAGAATTCAATGAAGAACAAAATTCGATCACGTCTTAACCTTAAATCCAACTTAAAAGGCTTAATAATAATAATAATAATAATTACCTATGTTATTTTTGGAGCTCACAAGAGCAGCAAGCAAAATTCAAGAAAGTTCTTGAATTGTTTTTTTTAATTTTAGTCCTTTTTAGATTTTATAACTTAAATGAATTTAAAATTCATTTTAGTCCAAAATGGCTATTACGACCTTAAAATATAATGATCCAAATCATGCCACATATAAAATTTATCATCCAAGGGCTGAAATTAAACCATGAAGTTAGTAGTTTATAACTTTACCCTTGTAAAGTTTCAAAATTTCAATCTTGTCATTTTTAATCCAATGACTAAGATTTAACATGGAAATCAACTTAAATCCAATGGCCCACATTAAATCTTATCATTTTAAAGCATGGAAAAGATATTTTTTTCCTTGCTTTATCATCTAGCAAAATTTCCTAAATTTTCGATTCGACTCGATTATCTGAATTTTTCTCGAACTTTCACACTTTATAGTTTTTAACACAAATTCCGTACTAAAAATCTGAATGACACAAAAGCGTCATTCTTAAGGGTACCTATTCATTTACGGGACAAAAATATATACTTTTGAAAATTACTATTTTAGTTCCAGAACTTTTCAAGTTTATACTTTAGCCACCAAACTTTCATTTTATTCATTTGGGTCACTAATCATATTTTTGGAGTATTACATAAACAGATCCCAATAACTCCATCCATCCGATTTTAATTCTACATACAAATAAACAATTTCGTTTTTTATTTTGAATTCTATATTTATTCTACTTTATTTGATTTAGTAATAATTATAGTATTTTTATTTTTTTTATTGTTTATTTTTTCGAACTAACGTTTTGTCATCATATGTTAATGGTATGTACACTATTTTAAAATTAAAAATTTAGTCTTTATACTTTAATTTTGCGAGATTTAGTCTTTATACTATTTTTATTTGAAAATCTTTATTTCTTTCCCAACTTATGTTCAGTTTTATTGATAATTATTGACTTGACAACTATGAAAAAGATAAAATAACATTTTTAGTCTCTCACTTTATAGTTATCATTATCAATTTTATCATTAATAGTTTTTTTTAAATATCATTAACGGAAAATAGAATGTTTCAATCATCTATATTTATAATTTTAATGGACATATTGATAAAAAAAGAAAAAGAAAAAACGCAGAGGATTAAAAATGTTATTTCTTCCTTTTTTTAGTTGTTAGGTCAACAATTAATATTAAAATTAGATAAAAGTTACAGAATGGATCAAGATTTTCAAACAAAAATTGATACGAGGACTCAATGTCAAAAAATTAAAGTACATGACTAAATTTTAAATTTTGAAATGATATAGGGACCCTTGACATATTTAAACCTTAGAACTTATATAACTCTATAATTATAATTTATACCATCAAACATGGTATAATTAATTAAGATGTAATTGTGCTAGGTTCATTAAACATGTCCAGAACACTTAAAACACTTGAAAGGAAATCCAGAAAATTAGAATTCGTTGTAGCTCTTAAATAGGCTATGGCGACATTAATGTGTTTGAAACTATGACCTTGTGATATTATAAAAGCACTCATTGCCACGACACTCGTACTATCACTCCAAATAATAGAAACATCAACACAAGCAACACTCATATCCCCAAATACAGCACATAGTTAAGCAACTTCAAAAACAACAGCGACCATCCCTTAATATTTTGTGGAACGAGAAACAGACTTTTATTTCTTTGAACTCCAATAAACAAAATTAAACCATTCCCTAGAAAAAGTTAAATCCTTCAAAATTATAGAAATGGTACAAAGTAGGCGTTGGTCCAACAGACAACAATATATTATATATAAATATAAATATAGAACGATTTATTTATGCTAATATAAAATTAAAATATTTTTTATAAGATTAATGTTTTAATTATCCTACGGTTGTGCTTTTATTATACAGAAACCTTGAACTATAATCCCTGCGATATATTCCTTCTCCTTGATCCATTTCATATTTTAAGAGTGAGTCAAAGATAGATAGTATCTTTATCACGTATATTTCCTTTGATTTTATGTTTCATTCTAAATATCCATATCCCATTTCCCTTCTTTGTCATATATATATATATATAAAAGTAATTTGGTGTAATATTAGTCATCGATGAGTAAAATGTATTAAGAAGAACAACTACAATAACAATCCAAATTAATACATAAATTTAAATGAAATTAATAATTGAAAAAATTAATTATCAGTTGATTTAATAAAATAATGTGTTAAGTTTTTTTATATAATATTTAGAGTTTAAATTTTAAAATCATGAATAGTATGAGATAATTATAAGTTAACATTTATTTAGAATTTTTCTTAGTTATTGACAACCCGCATACATCTCATAGACGCATCTACTCAGACCTAGGTTCTTTAAGACAAACAAATTTTATTCTATCATTAACGCCACTCAACGAATTCTATAAATAGGACAAATTGAATTAAAAAAATTATTTTATAATATACTCCTTATAATACATATATTAATATTAATTAACTAACAAATCCAATATTAAAGATTGTAACAAAAGATGACAAAGAAAAAGAATATTATATACTTGCAAGCGAGGGTAGACAAAAGAAATGATCGTATCTTAGCACAAACTACAACATCTCAGTAGTTAAAGTAAATATTGGTACCTTTAGAGGTCTCAACTTCGAACACATCGTATGTTAAAGGTGACGTTTGAACGTTCATCGTCAAATTAACTGAAAGTCTTTCGAACAGATACTACCATATAATCACCTTTAGATTATTAAAAAAGAAAAAGGAATGTATCTTATATCCATTGTCGGTGGCTAAACCTAGATGTCATGTGTGTGAGATGTCATGTGTGTGAGCACGATGCCTTCTTTTTGTAATTCTATTTACATTGTATCTTTCGTTGTAAAGGTTTGAGCATTACATTCCAATGTCTTGTTTTTTCTTTCCATCTATTCATCCAGCATAGCATGGCCAATATCTTTGTGGTCGTAATGATTTTGCTGAAAAAGGTTATATATATTCCAATATTGGGTTTTGGTGCATTGCAGTGCTACAAACACATTCACTTTTAGCTTTATCCAAAAACACCTACAAATCTATTGGATTCACCTTTTACTTTTTGCCACCTATCAACCATGGACCGACTGTATTCAATTTTCTAATTCCCAGTAAAAGAAATAGAATAAATTAAAAATCATAGCATTTGAACGGTTAATAATTTCGTTAAAAAATCGCAATTATATAAAGAGTTAATTGCATCACATGTCCTCAAATTATGATCCTCATTTTAAATCAATCCTTAAACTTTTAAACATTCCAATTTCATTCTTAAACCATGATTGTCATTCTAAATTTGTCCTCAAACTTTTTAACACTTCAATTTCATCCGCAAACTATTACATTCATTCTAAATTAGTCCCCAAACTTTTTGAGCATTTCAATTTCATCCCAAACTATATGTATATCCTAATCACATCCCTTGTTAGTAAAATTGTTAGGTCAAGTTATATTATTATATGTTTTAAAAAAAATAAAGTTTAGGTTAAACTATGGTTGAAACTAATTACATATTTGGATGAATTTAGGGATGAAATTAGAAGATTCAAAAGTTTGAGTATCAATTTAAAATGAAGGTCATAGTTTGAGGCTGAAATTGAAATCTCAAAAGTTTAAGGACCGATTTAAAACAAAGATCATAGTCTGGGGACATAACTAACCCTTATATAAATTGAACTTTATTTTTTATTTGATGTATAATTATTTTTACATTATAAAATTTAAAATTTTATTTCTTAAATAATTAAAATAATATAAAAATATTAGATCAATAATAATGTCAACTGGTATCAATATTAAATTGATCTTTTACTTTTATAACATCGTTAATTAGATCAAATGTACTTCAGTAGTCTAAATAAAATAGACAAGGATATTAAGTATTGAGATTAAATAATAGTATTATTACTTTTAAAATATTAAATTATCTTAAATTAGAGTATAAAAATTAAGTGTAATCTGTACAACTATTTCTAAAACTAGGATCTTATCTTGTTTATGGACAAAGTTTGCTGCAGCCACGTGATTAGGGTTTTTCTTCTTCTGGGATATCAAAGATAAAATGTACTAAAACAATTTTTTTAACATGAAATCACCCAACTGTTATATAAAACATTATAAGGTGAACATGAGTCAAGCTACCTCAATAATTAAAGGAATGATTGTTTTCTCTAGAGGTTTTAGATTCGATGATCAGAAATTGCAAGGCGATTGATCTTTAATTGTCAAGTGGTTGAGAATCTTTAAAATAGATACTACTCTAAAACAATAAATACTATGACTCCATTTGAGAGTTGGATAGGAAATTAAGGATAATTATATTCACTAAATGAACATTAGAACAATAGTTGAGAGAAGAAAGTTAAGGATTAATTACATTCAGCGGATTTGGGTGCCATAATTATCCATATCTACACATGCTGTTCAGCTAATATCCTTTAGAAGAAAATTAAGGATTAATTACATTCAGTGGATTTGGGTGCCATAATTATCCATATCTACATATGCTGTTCAGCTAATATCCTTTAGAAGAAAATTAAGGATTAATTACATTCAGTGGATTTGGGTGCCATAATTATCCATACCTACATATGCTGTTCAGCTAATATCCTTACATATAAAGATTGACCCACTCCGTGCCAAGAATATAACTGTCTTCCCCAATGTAAAAAACATCATCATATCCAAATTCCCCTTGAAAAACTGGACCAATATTGGCTTCCATTGACAGTACGGATGAGCTTGAACTATTATTACTGGAAACTCCATCTATTCGTTCCGCCAGCTGCTGGATTTCCTTCTCTGCCTCGCCAAGTTGCTCCTTCAGCTTTACAACCTACCACAATCGTGCACAAAATGTATGAAATTACCAAGCATATGTAAACAAAAAAATACTAAGCTTTAAGTTTAATGTATATATGGGAAAAAAATTCAAGTACTTTTTGTTGTTCGCTGTTCCTCGTCAATGTTTCCCTACTTGTTGTCCAACACTATTCTTTCCAACTTTCAGTTTGTATTCCATTTAATAACATGAAATGAATTACATCAATAAAGTTACAATATGATGTCATAAACTAACGTTTTAATAGTTTAACTCAACAACATGACATGGCCTTCATCTTCGAGCCCAGAGCTCATGGCATGCACGTTCTAATATGGTGGGTCAACTTATCTTTTCCAAAAGGATAAAGATGAAGAGGTTGCCACTTGCATAAGTAGTTTTGTTTACTTCGAACCAACGCCTCTTTAAGCCTGAATTATTTTGTTAATATATATATATATATACCTGGGATTCAAGGCGGCATTTGTCGAGAAGAGCAGTTTCATGAAGTGATTTGAGCCTGTTGTACTCTTCCTCCATCTTCTTGTTCTTCCAACGAGCTCTTCGGTTTTGGAACCAAACTGCAACCTGGCGAGGGTCAAGTCCCAGCTCCGATGCGATTCGGTCTTTCCTTTCGGACTCTAGCTTATGTTCATTGCCGAAGTTGAGTTCAAGAAGATCAACTTGTTCCTGTGTAAGCTTCCTCTTTTTAGCCCCACCACACTGGCTGTTTTCCCCTCCCTTGATCTTCTTCCTCCGCCGTCGAGGCTTTGCTTCCCCTGCTCCTCATCAAGTAACTGGGCTTAATCAATTAAGCTACCAAGATTTGGAAAACGATGGAAGAATTAAGTTTATGCAACACAAATTACCTGGCTGTGCTGCAATTTGAGTGTATAATCCAGGGAAGATAAGATCTTCATGATGTCCATGCATTTGGGATGTCATCATCCTTTGATAATCTTCACTCATTCTCTCTTTCTTCTTCCTACCTTTCTCACGTGTTTTGATCGTGTTGAATGTGTGAAGGAAGTAACGTGCTTTATTTATAGGGTTGAGTAGCACCTTAGCAGTTGTTTGTTTACCTTAAGACCCTTGTGTCAAAATATTGGACTCCATTGTCTTGTGAAATAACAATAATGCCATTCGAAGTGCTATAATTTGTTACACTAGTTTGGGACAAATGGCAGTGTCACATCTAAAATTGTATGATGGAACTAGTTAGGACTTGGGATATGACCCCAACAGTTTTGTGAATATAAAAATAAAATAGTGGGTGGGGAGCTTCTAGGAAAATCATGTCAACCAAATTCTGCCCTCCACACCCCCAACAAGTGGATAAAGTTGAATAAAAAAATCCCAAAAAAAAAAATGCACAATACATATGACAATCTAATGGTGGTGACAAGAGTTTTTCTTAAGTCCCACCCAGAGATGGTAATCAATTGGGATTGTGTTGGATTTTTATCTACTTATCATACTCAAAAAAATATATATATTATCCATCTAAATTTGACTTAATGTAAATGTAGATGCTTAATTTGTCTGGGGCCTTTATCATTTTCAAATGAAAGCAGTTATGGGGAGTTAAAAACTAGAAATAAACGTGAGAAGGCAGTTAACAAAAAGAGAGAGCCATTATTGGTAGTTAAGGAGCACGATACTGGGGCAAGAAAAAACTGTAAAGAGTTCAGTTTTTGGGAATTAACCACCAGAGGAATAAAATCAGAGGATTACACACAGAAAAAAAGGGGGGGAGAGTAAAAAAGAAGAGAGATATCAGCAACCCATCACCATTACGAGGAAAAAAGGACCTGTTTTATTAGTTTTTTTTACATAATAGAGCAAGAACGAAAAACAGGGTGTAAAGTTTTATTTTCTGAAAGGCAATAGAAGCAAGTTTTGGTTTATATTATTCTCCCAATCGAAGGAAAGTTCACAAAGGGCAGTATCATCTTCTCAAGCCAAAAACAACACCAAATACATAATACAATCTAACAACGAAAGCAACACAGGCAGTATAAGCAGGTTATTTTCTTCATATTTTAGAAATACTAAACGCACTTTATCGTTTTTCTTTTGAAGCTAGTAGAAATATAAAAGGGATAAATTAGTTTCTATTTACCTTTTCCTATTTCGGGTCTCGATCGGAGTTTGTTTCAGGCGTGACTCGTCTAGTTGTACTTTCATGGTGCTGCAGCGTCGGTTGAGAGCATAGGTGAGGTCTATGGAGATTAAAAAACAGAAAATCAAAAAAAAATAATCCAAAATTTCAAACTTTTCTCAAGGTTTTTAACAAACAGTGGATTTTCTTTTGGGGTGTGATTAAAAGGAAGAGTTTAGTGTTTACCTAAGAGTCAATCGCCGGAGTTGAAGCCGCCGGAGTGGAGAGACCCGAACAATAGAGAGTAACAGAGGTCGTCTGGTTTCGGTTAATAGTCCAATAGCAGTCGGGGTTTAATGTAGTCGCCGTTAGGGGGTCAGTAGGTGGCTATGGTGGTTGAGATTTCGAGCGTGGGAGAGTGGATAGGATTCTCGTCTGTGTGGGTTTGGAGAAGAGATAGGGGAGAATGGAGACTTGAACGGCTATGCAAAAAATGAGAAGAATGGTCAGTTTAAGTCTAGTTTTTTTTTTTAATTAGGTTCTATATTAGGAATTATGGGTTATTCACCATTTGGGTCACACAAGGTTTCGTTTTAAGTCGTTTTAGTCCTAGAATCGAGTCTTTCATATTTTCAATTTGTTCTTTATAGCTGTCGAAACGATTTTTTTCTTAAATGTGAAAAAGTGAGATTTTTAAAAAAACCACATTAATTCTTAATTATCTCTTTTTAATTTAAAAACAAATGTGATTTAAAAGACCTCTAGTTTCGAAAATTTTTGGATTTCCATCGAAAAATACGGTTCAAAGAGTCACCACCAATCTTTGATTAGGGTGTGATTGGACACCCAAAAATGCTTTGTCATTTTAAATAAAAATTAATTTTAATTAAAACAAAAAATTGAGGTTTGCGTTACCAAAATCCGAGTTCGGGAGTCAGTTACGTGTGGGGAAGGATTAGCACCCCCACAACGCCCTAAATCGGTACCTAGTCGATTAATTAACGTTTTTGCAACGAACTTTACAAATTCGATCTTAATTTGATTTTTGATCCCATAAAACAAAGATATAAATTTAAAAACATTTAACAGCACTCAAACAAATTAAATTAAAATTACCAAGTCATTTTAAAAATATAAAGAATGTTCGATTATTTACAAATATCGAGACCAGATCTTAAAGATATAACAACCTTTTCTCGATATATTTAAATAAACGAACATTTCTTTTTCTTTCATTCCCAAATTTTAGGCGACGAATCAATTTTTTTTGTTTCACTTTCGGGATACACTTTTATTTTAAAATCATTAAAAGCGGACCTCAAATCAGTTATGACTGCCCACTTAATACAATTTTAAATTAAAAGTGTATTACCCTTAGTCCGATTATGTAATAGGTCGAGTTATGCAAATGAGGTTACCATGCGAATCGTGTAAAAAATATCATGTCAAAATTGATTAAACAAAATTAAAAATATCATTCAACGTGACATACAAAAAAAAATCATATACACATATTTTAACTAAAAAAAATCATAAACCATGCATATTAACATATTATGTACACATGTGACGTAAAATATAAAAACAAAATCATAGCATGCTAAACTATAAATAAAAAAAAAAGTATATATATATATATATATAAATATAATGACTAAATTCAAATACACATAAAATTAAACATATTAATTAAAGAAAAACAAACATAAATATAATGGACTTAATCCTAAAATAAAGTATGGTGATATGGTACATACATGCATACAACGACATTGACATACATTAGAATTATACAATAAAACATACTATTAATAATTCGATTTCATATTCAAAATTACCATGAAGGACCAAAATAAAATAAAATAAATATAGGAATGCAAAAATGTAAATCTAACAATAAACTAAACGAACATGCCATAGGTCCAAAGTGTAAAGAAAATAAACAGCATGTCTTTTCCATAAAAATTTCATTTCTAGGCACCTCAAACCTAATATAACCCAAGTATTACATGGGACCAAAATGCAAGTTCCCAAAATTACATATCAAATGTAAAAATAGTAAGAAAATAGCCCCAACACAACACTGGACTGAAATGAAACACGGATAAAATTAAGAGACAACATTAATATACTAGCAAAGCTCGATTTAGAGATCAAGACGATACAGTTCAAAGCTGTGAGGACCTATATAGATATTACCCCAACTTCTAAAACGCAGTTCATCTCCCCCAGACAACAACACGCTGCCGTTTTGACCCTCTGGAACGACGCCGTTTTGACATATGATTATACGGGATATTTAGGGTAAAACTTAAACCTGATTCATTCTCACTCTCAGCCTCACCAACCAAACCCTGCCGTTCTCTATACCCCCTTTCCTCTCTACCTTCTTCTTCTACTTCTCTCCCTCAACACGAACAGCGGCCATGGCCACCCCTCCGACACAAGTAGGCTACGATGAAGAGCCCACAAGACTCGATCACAACCCCTAGCCTCAAATCTTTCTCCCCTTACCAAAAAAACCTTAGACCTAATCTTCCAAACAGAAAACCCATTCAAAATCAAACCATGAATAGCCACTGTCTCGCCATTCATGGTCTCTAATGACGAGCCAAACTATTATCCGACTCAAAATCCCTAAAACTCGAGGTTTAGAGCACACATGCATAATAGGAAAATAACGAAAGAGGGTTTACCTTCTTCTAGATGGGATGTTTGTTCCTAGCAAAGGTGACGAGAGCTTATGGATCAGAAAGGTAAGTTTTTTTTGCTTTCCTCGGTGGTTCGTTCTTTGGTTGATGATGCTTTCATAAAACAGTAGGGTCTCCTCTTTTTCTCTGTTTTTTTTAGTTTTCTTTTCTTTCTTTTTTTTCGTTTAAAATGTCTCTGGTTTTTCTGGTGATGGCTACTGATTTTCTCCTCTGTTTTTGATCTGTCCTCCAACTCTCCCTGTCCTCTCGGTTAACTCCCCAAGTTGATGAGTGGTTCCCCCCTTAAAAAACTGACCATCCCCTCTATTTACAGTTTTTTGATAACTCAAAATACCCCCACTCTCTACAAACCGTTCCCTCTCTTTTTCTGCTCAAAACTGCCTGTCTTAGTGGCCTAATCCAACTGAGCACGGGTTGGGTTAAATATCATGTTGGGCTCGATTTGAATCGTCTAATCTGCTATAAGCTCGAACAAAACGAGCATCTACAGCTGCCCCTCTTTGCTCATTGTCGTGCAACGAGAATAGAGCAAAGATCAATAGATGATCAAGTTTGTCCGACCATTAGAACTTCAAAAGATTAATCCGCTTCTCTGCTACTTCAGGATAAGCAAGACTTGAAAAATCTTCGAATGACGAGCATGCTCCCTATTCCTTCAGGAAGTATAAGACTCGAACAATCTTCATAAAATGTGTCTGCTCTCTATTCATTCAGAGAGTATAGAACTCGAACAATCTTCAACAAACGGGTCCGCTCTCTATTTCTTCAGAGAGTATAGAACTCGAACAATCTTCAATAGACGGGTCCGCTCCCTATCCGTTCAGGGAGTATAGAACTCGAACAATCTTCATAAAACGGGTCCGCTCCCTATCCGTTCAGGGAGTATAAGACTCGATCTTCAATAAACGTTTCCGCTCCCTATTCCTTCAGAGAGTATAGGACTCAAACAATCTTCAACAAACTTGTCCGCTCCCTATTCCTTCAGAGAGTATAGGACTCAATCTTCAACGAACTTGTCCGCTCCCTATTCCTTCAGAGAGTATAGGACTCAATCTTCAACAAACGAGTTTGCTTCACTACTCTTTCGTGAAGGCTTATAGATTTAATTGCTTCACTACTCTTTCGTGAAGGCTTAAAATTTACTTATTTTGAAAGTCAAACCTGAAAATCAAACATTATCAATCATGAACATATGCTTGGAAATATTATACTCAA